GAGCACTGCACCTGTTTTTATCATCTTCACAAAATCACATTATTATTGAGAATGCTCTCCATATGGCCAGAAGATGTACTAAGATGAAAAAGAAGTCTAATGTAGAAAAAAAAATGTACTTTATTGGTTTCCAGTAGCGCTTTTAAAAAAAGGAAATGAAAACACGTCTAACCGTAGATTGCACAACTAAGTAAGAAGCGAAGCGTCGAACTTATAAGGATGATAGATGTGACGCAGTGCTGCGCGATAGGCTGCCGAGGATTATGGGGTCGCATCTGCGGCTTTGAGAGAAATAACTTAATCATATTTCGGTGTTCTTTGGTCAGATATTTATTAGCGTTGTTGTCACTTATCTGTGTCCTATCTCATCTAAAGCTAGTAGAGGACAGAGGTTTCAAGTAGTTGAAACTTGTGGTGAACAAGAGCTATCAAAAAAGCTATTTTTTTCTCAAGAACGTCAAAGTTTTGCATTTGCTAAAACTAGCTAAGCTTAAAATTCTTCTTACAAAAACAAACAGTCATTAACTGCGCTCGTGCTTTAACTTTTTGCAATAAATTGCAGCAATCTTTGAGTGAATGCAAACGAATAGAGTAATTAGATATTGTAGATATTGTAGATAGTTGGGTATTCGTCCTAACACAATCAATTTGCAGGCGAACTTGTATCGTGAAAAACGCAAGATGTCGACAAATGGAAATGGACAAGGGCATCTCTTGTAATGAAGATGTCCAAAGACTTATTACAAGTCTACAAAGGGATGTTTACTTAAGAATAAAGTCAAGTTGTCTATGATTGTAGATAAAAGGGCTAGAAAATGTTTGCTTTAATCAAATGGTGCAATGGAATTTTTTAGGAATGGAATTTTGGCAAACAAGGGAGGCACCGACTTAAGAGGTAATATGTCAGTATAAATAACTTGATATGTAATATGTTATGCATTTGAATTTCAAACACTTTAAACTGATTTCACTTACCAATTATAACTTAGTATTCGCATTAAAATTACGTGTTTTCAGCTTAGACCGTCATAAAACTTCCAAAAGCAAATTTTACTTGAGTTATTTCGAGTATACTTCACGATAAAGTAGTGAGTTCTCATTCTTTTTTCTTTATCAAAAGTATGGTTGGATTCGATTCCTGTGATGCATATTAGCAGATTTCATGTTTACTCGATGCATGCACTATTATTGCCATACACACACAGTAGAGGAATGTGTAGTTCAGAACTCGCAACTTGCAGATAAAGAAAGCTACCACCATATGGTTGGATCAGGACGATGCAAGATAGCAGCCAGAAGATGAAAAAGCCATTATCGTAGCGTATGCATATGGATCAACATATGATTAAGTGAATGATTCAGAATGTTTTCGGGAAAGATACAACATTCGGAATCCTTAGAAATCCTGATGCGCTGCAAGAAAAGTCTAATACGATGTTAACTTTCGTTAGTGCTAGCACTTAGTTCTGCTGGCAAGAATGTAAGCTTCATTGATCCGTTATAAGGGAAGTGAACTTTGAATCTCTGAAGGCTTGAGATCAACTCAATCAGAACTCTGACAATTTCAGTGCACTGACAAACATCCAGGAGTCGGGATTCTTTTAGTTTACGAGGAAATCTCTCTTAATGCTACACTATTCCTACGAAATCTTCCCACTCCATCAAATCCATCGTCAGCTGGTCAATCGCAGTCTAGTGGGATTTCACACCAACAAATAGAAACTTCAGCATTTGGACACTTCATTGACATTGCGACAAGTATGTCCTAAAATTGTTTTGTTGACTACCAGCTTCTTAGACGAGCGTCACACTGGACACACACGACATCCTAAGAATAAGAAGAAAGAACAATGGGAAATGCTTCTCTCAGTCGGAGGTGAACTTCATCAACTGCTGGGAAATTGCTTCTACGCCATATTCAGGCAACCTTTTTGTACAATCCAATGTTCTTACCAGTCAGCAGCAGTTTTTAAATCACATTTTCCACATGATAAATTACTTTCCGTCGTACAGCCAGTGTTTTTCTGATAAAAACACATGCCTTTTCTTATAATTAAAGCAATTTGCATTTGATGGTTAGCCATATCATCTGCCGCAAATTTATGGCTGCTCTGGTGGCTGAGCAAGCTTTATAATTCCCTCTACCTAGCAACATCCAATCGTCCAACACATGTAAACAGCCATGATTTTTCCTCGCAAAACGATATGCACGTTAGCTCAATATAATCGCAACAACTATACAAAGAAAATTATGCGCATGTGAACGATAATAAACGATAATTTAGCAGCGCCTAATGTTACATATAAACGGAACGAAAATAAGAAATATTGTGGTTAAGGCGAATTAAACGAGACTGGAGCCTCAGATCGAACACAACATGAAACATTATACCGTAAGCACAAAAGTCAGATCAAACCCAGAAAACAACCGACATCGAATAAAGACAGTACAAATATGACAAATAAACTACTTAGACCACAACTTGTGCTAAGTGCAATACTGTAACTAACAAAATCAATCTATTCCATATGTACAGCAAACGCAGAAATCGAGGAATATTTAAAAAAAGAGCGCCTCAGAGTACTAACGTGAAATATTGGGCCCGTACAAGGACACATCAATAGGCAAGCCAGCGGCGAAAATCAGAACTCTGTCGTAGTTTACATTAGTATAATGGATCGAAGACCCTTATTTGATGTCGCAAAAAATCAACGTTCATCATTTGCCCATTTCACTAAGAGAAAGCAAACACTACAAATCACACGGATCCGAATATATGAAAAGTACCTACAAATGAGCATGGATTCGATGTTGATACTCACTAGACTAGACGATAACAATGTTGATTTCAATGAAAAGAAGCTGACTTATCACATATTGGGAAAGGTTTTTAAACTTTTTGTTGGCTCAGTTAATAGCTGATATCTACGTGTAAATACGATAGATGTAAATGGAAATAACACTCAAAGGGTGACAAAGACGGCTGCTGCTTAGAAACGCTTCCATTTCCAACTCCACATCTACTACGCTCAGCTACCTTAGTAGGTATAAATAATTGCCTTGCTGTAGTATTCATGAGATACTTTTGAAGACAAAACAAATTAGACGTAATACTTCAGCTGTACTTACTTGAGGTTCAAAAGTGCTTTAGTACCAAATGTTTCCGAAGATAAAAAGGGCATAAAGATAACCAGGACCCTGCGTTGCATAGCTGAATTACGTAAGGCCGAGCGCAAAAATAAACGAGAAAAGTTCTGTAATTATTAATAAAAAGGAACAAGAATGGAAATGCTCACAGCGAAGCAGGAACCTGTTAGTGTTATGCAGAAGAAATTGCAAAATTGGTGAAAAGAACTCATTACGATTACCACACAAGTCCTCCTCTCTACATATCTACTTTCACTGCAAGAAGAGAACTTCGGGATAAAAGGAGAAAGATCATGAAACTCAAGTTTCATAATTAAGTTATATGATTATTAGGACACCAGTAAGCAGAAGTTTCCTCATATCAAGCTCGGGGGCTGTACACTCGGCGAGGCTTCTTCTGTTGAGTCCGCTCCTTTGAGCCGTAGACGAGTAAAGTCCTCAAAAATCAAGTCGTCTTCGTCCATGCGCAAGTCATTTCTGAGATGTGTTGTTTGCAAATAGAAAACAGGATGAAAGAGAAAATTAAAATAAATCAACTCAATGACTGCAGCTAGGACTCACATTTCCTCATTTAGCTGTATCAGATCAACCTCTAACGGATCCGGCCCTGCACTTCCTTGCGCAGATCGGCTTACAATAGGTCGATCCTTAAAATATGTGAAAAGTTTAAACCCCCTCTCCCCATCAAATGATATCTTCACAGATAAAAAAGAAGATAAAAAAAAAGAATTTTGCGCTAACCCTTCTTTCAGGAGTCTCAGCAGGTTTTGCATGGGTAAGAGTGAACGGAAGTTCTGCCACCAATTCTCCACCAAGTGGTCCAGCAATAGCAGCACGAATTTTCACTCTGTATGCCACAACGATGCCAAGACTTTCTTTCGTTGTTGATGGTTCCATTCTAGAACAATCACAATGTGGCAACATGACATCAAAATAAAAACAATCAATGGACATACATAGTGCTCGATGCCAAATTCGTGTCCTCATGTTTCAGCTGACCATCTAGAGCTAAACCTCTTTTATCTTTGTTATTTCGCAGTAGTGGGCATACGGAATATACTTTTGAAAGTGTTGCACCAGGACCAACGGGAAAACCCTCCCTGAAATGGGGAAAAATAATTTTCTAACGAATACCAGTCCTTACAAACATAATTATATGGAAAAATCTAATTATATGCTTTGTAGTGGTAATGCTTCCACTTGAAGAGCGAACATGAACAACAACTCTAATTGCATCATTAAAATTTGACTACGTGGGCAACCCTCAATTGCAACCCAGAACCTCAATTTAGAAAGCACAGTCGGACTAAACAACTATATATTCAAGCGCCATCAAGATGTATAACGTTATCCAATGAATTATGAATGGATGTTCGCGATGCTAGGCAGACAAAATATTTATAATCACGTTCACATTCACTTCAAATGCAGAACTCAAAAATAACATTAAAAAACTAGCTCATGGTGTTGCAAGAGTAAAGCTTACAAGAGGTAAGTGGAGTAATTGCTATGATGCTAGTTAAATGAACTGAACGATTTATAGTACAAACCACATGCTACACAAACGCAAAAAAACGTAAAATATCACTTACGCGCTTTCCACCCGAGCTACTTCGCATGTATACGATGCTGTGGTGAAAAGACAGATATCGGCGATCTGTACAACACTGACCTAAGGAAAAAAACATTCGAAGAATGAAAGCTGGTTTAAAAACAAAATTCACACCTTCAGTTTTTTTACAGATTTATTGCTGTTGTTTTGGATGTGGACATTCACAGCTATTGACTCACCATGGTAGTACATCTAAAAGAAGCACCTTCCACAAAAAATCACTTATTTTCAGTCTTCCCAACCTCTTTGTCAAGCGATGCTTCCATATGCAAGAGTCCAGCACTCATCATGAAGTCTTTGCTAACGTCAGCTGTCGGTTGTGGCCTCGCTTCCCAAGGAGCGTAAGTAAGTTTTCGAATTGCAAGTCTCACGCTGCTGCTAGAATTAGTCTTTCATGGAAACTTAGATTAAAGAATTTATTTCGCC